AGCAACATTATATATATATATATATATATATATATATATATATAGTGTTTTACATATAACACGTTTTTTCATTTTCTTGTAGTTGCACCAGCATCGCCGCCTCGATGTGTACAATATACGGTATGTAGACTACATGCATGCTGCTACATTACTCGACTTTTAAAATCTAAACAGATTTTAAAACACTAGGCAAGGCAACATACACTTGCCGACGTTGTAAATAGTTTCATAGTTACAGCAGGAAAACATTGTACAGTAAATGACTGAGGATCACACACTACCACACTTTTAAGTCGTTCAAAAAAAACAACAAACTCGAAAAGAAACATGTGCCTTGTTGCTAGGAGACTCGTGCCAAATGAAAACAATATGTGTTCTAAAACTGTCTCAACTATCAAACATGTATGTTATCCTCTGACTGGATAGATCATAGTCCTGAAGCTAAAAAATCAGAAACTGTAATCTTCATACACTATGCGATTTTCTATGTAATCTGTCAATTCAAATATGCAGATTGGCTCTGACTTTCGCCAACTAACGTCAGCTTGTCCAGATTGTAAATCGGGGCAAAAAACTAATGTAATTAGTTTTTGCAATCTAGCATGCCCCTCTCTCACTGATTTTGCATTTTTGCCACTTTTTGGTCTCCATGAATATCATTTTCACCCACTAAATCTGCATGCTGTGGATATTAAAATATGCATCCATGATTATCTGTTTTTTAACTTTGCATGTTTGTACATATTTTCAGTTATGTGTTTGTATCTGTACGTGTATGTCTGTCTGTCTATACACACATCAGAGATGTGCTTTAGCACTGTTATTATTCAGTCGACTGTGTTTTCTTGGAGGCTCTTCTCTCCTGATGATCATCAGACCAGTATCGAAAATGGTAAGTGTGTAAAAAAAACTGCAGAATGCACTAAATATATTCAGTTTAAAAAAAAAAAAAAGTCATTAATATAATAAGACAAGGAGTTTTAAATCTTGATAACTGATATGCATGATGTCCTCAAGCTTAAATGCACAGATTCATACTGAATTCATAATTTAATATACTTTAAGTATTTGGCAAATGATGTCTCTCTTCACAGGCCACCATGATTGCGTCTGGCTTTGAACTAGCCTCCAAAACTATTGCTGTCATCTTCATACTAATAAAACTAATTAAAGTAAGACTTTTTTTTTTACTAGACTGAACTTCTACTAAAATGATTATTTGCTTAACCACAGCAATTGACATCTAATTTATTTTTCCATTGCTGTGTATGTTTTTGTGTCAGTATGAGTGTGTGTGTGAGTGTGATAGTTTGCAGATTGTGTTTACTGCTTTGACAGTGGCTGCCATGGCTTCAAGCCTGCTGCACACTCTCACTGTTTTCCTTCACTGTGGACCAAGCCATGAATTGTGAGTGTAATCTTCACATATCAGTGTCTCTAGTGTCACCAGACAGAACTGCAGAAATAACTGTTTCCAAACAGGTTTTGTCTGCCATTGACCTTAGCCAGTGTAGCGCCATATTTAATTTTTGACAGGAATTAAACTGCTGTTTAACAACATACTGATTGTTCATCTGATGAAACGTCTTTCCAAAAAAAGTCCAGTAGACAAAAACTCCATGAAACAGTTCTTCATGGAGAAAATTGTGAAAATTACATAATCTAGGACCATTATAAAGTGTTTGCATTGTAGCCATTGTCTCACAGCCTTGTTAAACCGTGTTAAATTCAATATGGCGTTTAACCTGATAACGGTCTATTACAGTCTCACTCATTCAGCAAGAACAAGAAAGATTTGAATGAACTTAGAATCTAGACACTTACATGAAAGAACTTTTGAATGATCGTCTAAAAACTTTGACTTACAGAAGGAAGTGTTGGCTCTGTGCCATCATAACTTTTGGCCTAATGAATACTATCATTACAAGTAAGGTTCAGTTTTTCACATTCTTTAAGAGTGCATTCAAGTGTTTCGTAAACATTTTGTTCGTAGTATATATTACTTTTTCCATTATTTTGGATATTGGTGTAGGTGTAAATATATTCATGTAAAATCTCATGCAAACTTCAAATCTCATGTAAATTCAGATTTACCTAATAATGAAGCGTTAGGTTATAATCCTCTTTTTTTCTATTTTTTTTTACTGTAGCAACTGCAATATTCTTTGGAATATGGTGCTTTCAAGAGCGCTGGCTGCCATCATTAATGGGAATTTTTGTTATTTGGGAGTTCATGCTTTATCTGGGCTCAGTTTGCTTTGAACAGATGGGAAAGTACCAGTCAAGAAGTAAGTATCCTTGGTACCAGCCGACTCAAGGCACTAGTGAGATTAACACAAAAACTTCATAAATAGACTTTATGGACTTTTAAAGAATGTATGTGTTATCAGTCACACCCAGGCACAGTTGTGTGTACTTCCTTATGCATGATTTTCACAGTAAAAAAAGATCCATAGAGATGGATTATTTTGGTTTCATCCTACATTCCATTCTATTTTATTAATGGCCATACAGTCTCATTTGTTTGCATTTGTATGTCTGCAGAAAATCAGAATCATGTTCTGGAAAAGAGGGTAAATGAACTTTACATTTTCTTATCGTATATCTTATATTTGTGTATAGAGCCATTCCATGTTCATGTAAGCTGCTTATTACACATGTATTTGACTATAAAATAAACTTTACAGTGTATAGCAGCACCACAAATATTTGATGGCACCAGACCATCAACATCCACAACATCTTAGGAACTCACTAAAATAACCATGCATGCATACCGATATTATGACCTTAAATATTACACATTAAACCTCTATTCTTTTTTATTTTCAGATATCCCCATGGCTGTTTACATTCATCATCTTTTCAGTGTTTAATGCAATGTTTACAGCTGCACTCATGACAGGAGTGTCTTTGGTCAAAACGAAAAATTGTTGAAGGAACATCTGCAGATTAGTGAATATGTTATCTTGGTGCTTTTGTAGGACTAAGCGAATATGGGTGCAACTTTTTACAGCCCTAGTACATCAGTAATCCTTCAAAGGTATATGAATAACAACTTTACTGGAGTCAGATTAATTGTATTGGTGTCAGATAAGTAGCTGAATTATGCACATGATCTTTCAACTGCTTTTTATGATTATTGGTTCAAAATTGCAGTGTGGCCTATTCACACTAAGAATGATGATAACTATACTATTGTTCTAATTGTATGAGAATATAGAAGTCCACATCACAGCTATAACGATAACGACACAGATGGACAATATCGTTGGAATCACTTTCACATCGATTTTCTCCAGCTGATGAACGATAAAAAATATTGACAGCCAATCAAAACCCACTCGAATATTAAGAGCTTGAGTATTTTAAGTAGCAGATGACAAAACGTCAGTGCACATTTATAATAAACTGAACGTCATTGTGCATTGTTGTGGACGCTAAAATAGTTATCGTTGTCTTTATAGTTATTGTTATTAGCGAACGGGCATTAAGAGTCCAACTTTTTTTACTTTGTTCTTACACATCAACTAATTTACTGTACAATATTAATTTGTATAGATGTATCTGTATGTATTTGTAGATGCTTTTTATTATTGTAAGTTAAGTGAAGGAGTACAGTGGTGTTAAAAATTCTTAATTGATAATCTTCATTTTGATTACTCTTCCAAATTATGTGCACTTATACTTGAAAATGTATGTTAAATAAAGTCATTCACCAAATATTTTATTTATAATAAATATATTCATACAAATATTCATTCATCACCACATAAATTGATGATTTTGTTGTCGGTTTCAGTGTTTTAACACCAAAACATTTACGCAATTACAATCATGCAATACTGCTATCAAAAATAAACTGAACAGTTTGAATAATATGTAATACTTCCTTATGTGTCTCACATTCCATCAACAATAAGAATTTATTGATTGGGGAAAACCCAGTTTCCCATTTACTTTTCTGCTTAACTGACAATTCAAATAAAAGCTCAGACCTGAACTGTTTCTGTAAAACAATGGAACTGTGCTTACAAGAACTTTGAACTTGTAGATATCTGGTTATGAATCTTCCTGGGGTGTTTACAGTGCATTACAGTGTTGAGTCATGTCACTGGCAGACCCACAGTCAAACTTGTACTTGCCCTTCCGTGTGTGCGTGTGTGTGTGTGGTTTTCTATAAATTGAATAGTTTGCTTATGCTTTCAGCTACCATGTATTTGTGTTCACAGTACATGTTGAAATTAAAATTAAGTCCATTATGAGTAACATCAAACATTTAATTAGCTGTAAAATACAGCTGAAATGCAGATGCAGCTTTTATCACGAAATATCAGACTGTTGGACGGGGCGGCTGACAGCAAATAAACAAGAATTCATTTGATTAATAACTATAACTCATAAAAATCACTGTTTAACAACTATAAAGTACATCTATAAAAGGGTAAAAAAGGATCAGAAGTCTGAATAACCAATGCACTATTTTGTAACATTTTTGATTCCCACAGACTGCTGCAATACGGTCATGGATGCAGTTAAAAGCAATAAAATTATACACTACCCCCCCCCTTTTTTTTAAATAAATTATTTATTTCCTTAGCAAGGACTCAAACAAATGCTACAAAAGATCTCTGTTTCAGATAAGTGGTGTTCTTTTAAGCTTTCTATTAAACAAGGTATCCTGAAAAAAATCACGGTTTCTACATATTAAGCAGCACAACTTAACATCGACTGTAATAATAATAATAATAAAACAAAAATGTTTCTTAGGAACCAGATCGGCATTTTAGAATGCTTTCTGAAGGATCTAGTGGCAATGAAGTCTGGAGTAATTGCTGCTGAAAATTCAGCTTTGCCATCACGGGAATTAATTACATTTTAAATCGCAAAAGTATTTCACGATATTTGTTTTTAATTTTAATTGCATGAAAGACTTATTTCAAAAACATTTTAAAAATCTCACCCCAAACTTTAAAAATGCAGAATGAGAAAATGATACTCACAACAAGAAAAGAAATATAGACTCACTTTTAATTATTATAATCTTAGTCACACACTTACATATAACACCACACCCAAACAAAAATTTGATTGGTAAGAAGAGCCTAGCTTACAATTCAGAGTTTAACTTCAGAAATCAGTGCAAAACTTTAATCATTACCGCACCTGGCCTTCGGAAGGAATGTACAACAATTAATTTGCGAATTTATATTGTAAGCCAAATGCTTACTATATAATGCCAAATGCATTATTAGCATTATCATTATTATTATTATTATATGATCAAGCGTCACACATTTTATCAAAGGAAACAAAGAACCAATATGTAGGCAAATACAAAACCATTTGTATAAAACATTTATAACAAATACATTTTTAAAAACCTCTTTGGAATAAAGATCCTCTATGTACATTTATGTGGTCCGCACATCCATGAACTAGACCACTTTAACTCCAAACTCTACAAAATGACTTATCCAGCCCAACAGAGTGATGCAATCTTATGATTTTCCACAAGGTTATGCCTCACAGCCCTGCTGTTCAATTTTCTCTTCTGCAGCCACTGGCAGGATGAGGTGAGAAATTCTGCTCCACAGTCCACTCAGTTTATCCACATCCATTTGATTAAACATAGTGGATTTGTTTGAAGTGACAAACTTCTGTTTAACCTGGTCATGTACCATGTCCTCCACTGCACTTAGACTGGTCGTCGGGGCTATTTCATCCACCGAAAGCATCACAGTGAAGACCAGGAAAACCTTCTTGTAAGCAGCATTCTCGTGGTCACAGTAACGATAGAATATAAGCGTAGATCCAGGAGGGAGCTCCTCAAAACGGTGCACAACAGCTGCAGGTTTATCACCTTCAAATGCTTCCCTCAGCGCTTCATCAATCTCCAGCTTGACCTGGTTACTGTCTTGTGTTCTTTTGGTGGTCCCTTTGATTTCTAAGATCGAAGCATTATGGGTAGCGGAGTACGCCATGGCTAAGCTTCGAGCAAGGCAGCCCAACGTCCTTTCAGCTTGAAGGCCAGCAGTCAGAATTACACTGACTGGTTCAGAGGGGTTGACCATCTCCAGGTGGCTCTTAAGATGTTTCCCACTCCTCTTCCAGAACACTGAGCGCTGACTGGGAAAAAGATCCTGTAGAGCTGCTAACTCCAGATCAAATTTCTCCACTGTTTTAGGGTGGACCACATCATTTTGAGGCAATGAGCATAAGAACTTTTGATAAGCCAAAAAGCCCAAAGCCAGTAATCCTGTCAGTATCAGAGACCACAGAAGAAGCTTGCACACATACGACGTCCAGACTAGGAAAACATTAAGTTCCGAATTAACAAAACACTGTGGATGTGAGACAAATCTGTCTGCTTTCATTTATAAAGGAATGGATGAAGGACTCAAAAATACCTTTAGAGGAGGAGGGTGGACTTGCTTTTGAGGTGACAGGTTTCTGCAAGTTCGTCAATTCTTGAAGACAAAGTAAAATAATTATGATCTACAAATTCTTAAATATTATCGATTTTTGAAAAATTTTTGATTATATATCTTTAGTAATAAAATAGACAAATACAAAACATTTTTTTTTACCTGTGTTTTTGTGATTAGCGGTTTGATTTGTGATGGGATATTTAAATGTTTGGTAGATGTTACTCTTCTGGGGTTCAGTTGGTGGGTATCTATTCCAATTTTCAAGACCAGGGGGATCTATAGTAAGAACACAACCTTTGATTAAATAAAATGAATTAAAAAAATTTGTAACATATACAGAAAGAACATGACCAAGCATCATAATTTGCACTTTTACCAGTCCAAATATGGCTACTGTAATATATATAATAAAAATACAATAAAAATGTTTGACAAACATTTGGGTTTCTCCGTTATGGGATAATGATAGTTCATTCTATTCCTATTTCTCAATCTATAAGCCTCTTGTTGACTTTCCAATGGAACAGGACCCAAACTAGAGAGATCTGCAATGAAAAAGATACTTGTGAGCAAAGGCGTGCACATGGGGGACTGGCCAGGGATGGCTTGAGCCCCTGCCTGTTTAATTGCAAATGTGGTATGCATTATTTTTAATTCAAAAGGTAATTCCATCAATGATAACAAACCTCCATATTTTGTGACTGGTCTGTAATTTTCTTCATTCTTTAGATGAATAGACATTTGACTGCCCTGTAATGCCTCACTTTCCAGATTTTCTTTCAATACAGGGGCAGGATGCACTTTTTCTGTCCCAGGCTGGTCTGAGGAACCTACAAAAGGAATATAAGTGAGTGAGTGAGTGACATGACATGTGGCCAAGTATAGTGACCCATACTCGGAATTAGTGCTCTGCATTTATCCCATCCAAAGTGCACACACACAGCAGTGAACACACACACACACCGTGAACACACACCCGGAGCAGTATATACACCCCCTGTTTAATATTATTTGATATTTAATATTATAACACTTATGCTTATTCCTCATTTAGAATCTTACCTTTCAAACTGGACTTGTGGTCCTGCTCCACCTCCTCATCTGAGTTTTCTTGATCCATGTTTTCATCCTGATCATTCTCTCTCATCTCCACATCTGCTTCATCTGTTTGGTTTAATCCATCACCTTTCTCATTTATACTCCTTGTCTTCTCCTCAAGCTTTTGCATCTTAACAGGGGATTCTGTGTTGGTTTAATAAGAAATTAGCACAAACATTAGCATTAAAAATGTTTTGCCCGAAAAACAAAATGTAAGACAGAATTTTTAAAAATGTATTTCACATACCATTTTCATCCTCCTTAGTGAGACTCTTGGGCTCCTTGGATCCATTGACAGCTCTGGATGCCTCATCATCTTCCCTCATTTTCCGGGTTCTTTTTAGTGGAGGTCTGGGTTTAAGATCCTCACTATACAAACCTAAGACAGAAGAGGAACTGGTTAACTACCTTACAGAAATATGCCAACAAACGTAAGATTTTTGTTAAGTATTTTGCTTGTGCGTCAGCAGAAACCTACACAGACTATGATCTTGACAAGAAAATTAATGATTTTAACGTAAACAGAGACATTAGCAACTATACACTGTGTGAACTTTATTAATAATCTTATAAGAAATTTTTACAAAATGTTAATGAAATGTATCTAAACGATATATTAAAAGAATGAAACGATTAGCTCTTTAGCTCATATGCTCAAGCTAAACAGTGGATATTAAAAAGTAAAAATATATATAAAAATTGTAGCCTAGTTAACAAATAATTCAAAAGGTTATATAACAAGCATCTTAGTCTACTGAGAGAAAAAGAGAATAGCTTTGGAAGTACATTTTTGCTCCGTATTATTAAAATCGCATGGTTTTACGTTATCACACAAAGAAACGTAATGTACGGAAAGATTGATCTTGAAATAGTTTACATTTCATTTATTGATAACAAATACTGTCTACAGGCACAAGGACAAGTACGTAATCTAAAAGCAAGCAGCGAGTCTTTACGTTTCACGCTTCAGTATTAGAAAGTCTAACCTGTCTTGGATGCCTGTCTGGCGCTTCTCCTCCTAGTAGATACATCTTTAGAATCACCCGAGTCCATTTGTTTTATATCACACCACTCAAACTTTTTACTTTTCCTGTGTAGCCGAAAACGGAAAACAGAACATTACTGATGGTTTTCGACGGAGCGACTTCAGTGGAACACAACTTATCTCCCGGAAATAATAGTTGACAATCACAGTTAGTTTCACTTCTGTAAATGCGTTAGTACCGCACCAGAATTAATTCGTGTTTATCCCTACCCTTTAAACCACCAGAAACACGTCATAGGAAGCAGAGTAGAACTGATACATTTATTAGTGCACGTTTGTTTTCTCTAATAAAGCTTTGATGTAAAAAAAATAAAATAAAATCACCCATACAACAAATATAACACGTTCATCCGTGGCCAACCAAATTTACAGATTAAAAATAACTTTAATGTAAGACATAATTTAGATGCATACAGATCTACATAAAAACAAATAAAGAAGAACTAAAAAAATGGGGAAACTTCCTTCATTTGATCCTTTTATAAATTTCATAATCTGAAAAGTTGTAATTCAGTGTGAAAGAAAGAAAACAGGCCTATGCAGCAGCACGTACCTATATGCATTTATATATATTTTTGTCTGAATCCAAAGTATGAGTCTAATATTTAAAGTTAAAAGTAATTTGTGGGAAGAAAAAGTGTGATAACTGTTTTCAAAATGATTTATCCCAATCCTCACAGCCCTGCTCTTCAATTTTCTTTTCTGCAGCCACTGGCAAAATGAGATGTGAAATTCGGCTCCACAGTCCACCTAGTTTGTCAACATCCATTTGATTAAACATAGCTGACTTGTCAGAGGAGACAAACTTCTGTTTTATGTGCTCTTGAACCATCTCCTCAACTCTTCCTAGACTGACATTGGATGGCACTTCCACTTCTGCATCAAGCATTACAGTAAAGGCCAGGAAGACATCTTTATAAGCCGCATTCTCATGGTCGCAGTAACGGTAGAAGATGAGAGTGGATCCAGGAGGGAGCTCCTCAAAACGTTGGATAACTGCAGCAGACTTTTTACCCTCAAAGGCTTTTCTCAATTCACTATCAATGTCCAGCTTGACCTGATCACTGTCTTGTGATGCTTTGTTTTTTCCATTAATATTCAGAACTGAAGAGTTATGGGCAGTAGAAAAGGCTCGGGCCAAGCATAGGGCCAGGCAACCAAGTGTCTTTTCAGCTCTGTGACCAGATGTCAGAATCAGGCTGACAGGTTCAGTGGGATTCTTAGTCTTTAGGTGGCGCCTGAGATGAATAAGACTCCTCCTCCAGAGCTCTGGATGCTGATTTGGAAAGGTAGTCTCAAGTTTTTTCATTTCCTGATTGAACACGTCCACCACATTCACCGTGTTTGGTATAGGTGGAGTTGAGTCAGGACTATGCTGATATAATGCACAAACCAAAGCTGAAAACAGAATGACAGCAGCTGCAGTCCAAAATGTTTCTGTGAGAAAAGAAATTAATAAAGTAAAATACTGTCTGCTTGCAAAAGTAGACAAGTAATTTGTTTATAAGTTAGTACATTCAGAGAGGAGAGGAAAACAACTCACTATTATTCCCTTGCACAATGATCTGTGGTTGGACGTTCTCATCCCTCTCCACATCTTCTTCATATATATCGCTTGCCGTCTCTTCTTCTTCAGGCTTTTGGATATTAAGAGGGGATTCTGTGTTGATTTAAAACAAAGATAATGAGAACAAACATTAGCATACCAAATATGTTTTGGTCACTGAAGCAGCCACAATTCTGTTGTCTATAAGGGAATGTTGAATATTATAAATTCACAATGTGAAACAAAAAACACATCTAATAAAAGTTAATACTTGACCTCTAACTCCCTGCATATTTATATTTCCCTGTTCAGAGACCATTAATTCCAACAAGCACTAATTCTGAATCAAAAAGCATGGCAAAAACTTCCTGTTAAATCTGATTCCTCTCTTGATTCCTGACCTGGTTTCCTGAACTGCTTATGCTTAACCACATTTATAACAAGCAAGCAAATGCAATAATATGCTTTATTCTAAGACAAAATACCTTCTTTTCTCTCAGGTTTACTGCCCTTCTCTCCATCCACTTCTCTATTAGGTTCTGTGCCAGAGTGAGGGTGGTTCTCGGTCTCAGAACTACTGGAAATCGGTGTCGTCTTTTCTGTGTGTCAGACAAAGAAAAGTATATAGTGTTGTGTGCAATAACTGAACGTTTTAAATATTTTTTAAAGTTTTACGTTACGTTACGTTTTAAAGTATTAAATTAGTAGGGTACTCTTGTAATAAAGTAGCAGTGGCTGGGACAGATTTTAAATATCAATTCCACTTAAAAAGATGCAATCTAATCCTGTTTACAAGAAATAAGCCTGCTCCCGAGCAGGTTTAAGCTTACGGACCTGTTGCTATGACAGCAACTCCGGGATGAGCTTCGAAGAACCAAATAATCCAAAATCGTGCCAAATTGTCAACAATTAAATCCAGCTAACTGAGTTAGCAACGTGCGAAGAACGGGCCCCTGGTTCCAATCTCATGCTTTATTCTAAGACAAAATACCTTCTTTTCTCTCAGGTTTACTGCCCTTCACTCCATCCACTTCTCTATTAGGTTCTGTGCCAGAGTGAGGGTGGTTCTCGGTCTCAGAACTACCGGGAATCTGTGTCGTCTGTTCTGTGTGTCAGACAAAGAAAAGTATATAGTGTTGTGTGCAATAATTGAACGTAAACAGAACTTTAAAGCATTACAACAAACACATTTTAAGAGATACACACAAATTTAAATAAATAATATAAAAATACATTTAATCAGAAAAAATAAGATCAACTATGTTGTAGTCCACCTCCACAACCTACTGAAAAACTACTAAATATGTATTCGATATATACAATACAATATATTAATTTATTGAGATACAGCTGTATCACTGCAAAGCAGAATGTGGCACAATAATTGCTTTTTCCAGTTATCTTGTTTTCATAATTGCTGGAATCCAGAATCATAATTTAAAATAAAATTGGATTAAACACACATTCCTATTTGTAAATGTTATAAACGTATCTCCTCTGCATATTTTTTGTTACATGACAATGAATAACTAAATGTAGCCACTGTAAACTCTCTAAACATGAATGATATGATGTGCAAGCATACCTGTTTGTGTCTCCTCAGGTTCACTGCTACTCTCACTTTTCTCTTTTGTATCATGTCCTGGGTCAGACCTAGAGTCAGTTCCTTGCTGCATGGCATCTGAAAGTTGACAGGAACGCGTTCCCGTTTCCTCTTTGTGTCAGACAAGTTAAAGTATACAGTGTTGTGTGCAATAACTGAACGTAAAGAGTGCTATAAAACATTACAACAAACAAATCTGTAACTAGTTCTGCTCAATTACAGCGAAAATCATAATCAAAATAATTTTTATTTTACAAAATAAAAATTAATAGTTCACCTCTAACTCCCAACATATCTTCCTGTTCAGCAACCATTTTGACAAGTATTAATTCTGTTTGAGTCTAAAAAGCATGGTAATAATTTCCTGCAAACCAGACCCACCATCATCTTCGTTAGGTGCCTTTTCTGGCAAAGAATCACCTGACGGGCCTGGAAGTAGAAGCAGAAGAAAAGTTTTAGCTATTTTGTTGACAGTGGCTGTTAAATCTGATTCCTCTCTGGTTCCTGACCTGGTTCCAACCTCAGAACTGCTTATGCTTAACCACACTTATAGAAAGCAAGCAAATGCAATAATATGCTTTATTCTAAGACAAAATACCTTCTTTTCTCTCAGGTTTACTGCCTTTTTCTCCATCCACTTTTCTATTAGGTTCTGTGCCAGAGTGAGGGTGGTTCTCGGTCTCAGAACTACTGGGAATCGGAGTCGTCTGTTCTGTGTGTCAGACAAAGAAAAGTATATAGTGTTGTGTGCAATAACTGAACGTAAACAGCACTTTAAAGCATTACAACACACACATTTAAATAAATAATATAAAAATACATTTAATCAGAAAAAATAAGATCAACTATGTTGTAGTCCACATCCACAACCTACTGAAAAACTACTAAATATGTATTCGATATACAGGTACATCTCAAAAAATTAGAATAGCATGAAAAAGGTCAATATTTTTTGTCACTCATTTCAGAAAGTGAAACCCATATATTATATAGATTCATTACACATAGAGTGAAATATTTCATTTCATGATATTCTAATTTTTTTTAGATGTACCTGTATACAATACAATATATTAAATATATAATGTATTGAGATACAGCTGTATCGGTCTCAGAACTACTGGGAATCTGTGTCGTCTGTTCTGTGTGTCAGACAAAGAAAAGTATATAGTGCTGTGTGCAATAATTGAACGTAAACAGAACTTTAAAGCATTACAACAAACACATTTTAAGAGATACACACACATTTAAATAAATAATATAAAAATACATTTAATCAGAAAAAATAAGATCAACTATGTTGTACTCCACCTCCACAACCTACTGAAAAACTACTAAATATGCATTCGATATATACAATACAATATATTAAATATATAATTTATTAATTTATTGAGATACAGCTGTATCACTGCAAAGCAGAATGTGGCACAATAATTGCTTTTTCCAATTATCTTGTTTTCATAATTGCTGGAATCCAGAATCATAACTTAAAATAACATTGGATTAAACACACATTCCTGTTTGTAAATGTCATAAACGTATCTCCTCTGCATATTTTTTGTTACATGACAATGAATAACTAAATGTAGCCACTGTAAACTCTCTAAACATGAATGATATGATGTGCAAGCATACCTGTTTGTGTCTCCTCAGGTTCACTGCTACTCTCACTTTTCTCTTTTGTATCATGTCCTGGGTCAGACCTAGAGTCAGTTCCTTGCTGCATGGCATCTGAAAGTTGACAGGAAAGCGTTCCTGTTTCCTCTTTGTGTCAGACAAGTTAAAGTATACAGTGTTGTGTGCAATAACTGAACGTAAAGAGTGCTATAAAACATTACAACAAACAAATCTGTAACTAGTGCTGCTCAATTACAGCGAAAATCATAATCAAAATCATTTTTATTTTACTAAATAAAAATGAATAGTTGACCTCTAACTCCCAACATTCTCATATCTTCCTGTTCAGCAACCATTTTGACAAGTATTAATTCTGTTTGAGTCTAAAAAGCATGGTAATAATTTCCTGCAAACCAGACCCACCATCATCTTCGTTAGGTGCCTTTTCTGGCAAAGAATCACCTGACGGGCCTGGAAGTAGAAGCAGAAGAAAAGTTTTAGCTATTTTGTTGACAGTGGCTATTAAATCTGATTCCTCTCTGATTCCTGACCAGGGGCCCGTTCTTTGTACCTCGCTTAATACTTCCGAGATTATTTGAAATATGCCAAATCTTCTAACCGTGATAACTGATCTCTGGCTAATTTGGTTCTTCAAACTGATTTGCGGATTTGAATAAAATATCTGGATTAAGTTGTCTAAGATTACTGCACGTTCTTGTGTTCCCCATAAAGGGCAAATGTATAGATACTCGAAACCACGATCGGCAATGCAGCGTTTGGCTGGTGCCAAGACAGCAACATAATGACATCACATCATATAATTAAAAAAGACACCTGATGAAAAACTTGACAAATTTCTGGACCTTTATAAGGAAACAGCCAAGTGAACAAAACTACATGAATGTTATAATAGATAAATGAAATGTGCAGTTTTTATTTTATTTATTTATTTTTTACATGATTCACAATTATTTATATTCACGATTTCTAGTATTTGTACAGGCTTTACACTTTTATTTCAATGTTGTAATTAGCAATTCATGTAATTTTATCTTTAAAGCAGATATGTTATGTGACAGCTTTAATTAAAGTTTCTTAAGGGTCAAGATCAAGTTATCTGCACCTCTTGCGCTCCATCAAGCCACTCCCATAATAGCTGTCACCACTTTAATTAATGCACGACTCCGATTAACTGTATAGCATGTGTGTAAGACTCGAATACAATTATAAAGTAATTATTTTATCACAAATAAATCTTTCAATGAGTAAAACTGGCTGTGTCTATAGTATTATAGATTACACAACATTATAATATTATTTTCAAATTAAATTTTAAATTATTATTATTTTAAATTATTGTCCCCGGATTAGTAGGGTACTCTTGTAATAAAGT